GTATGTGACTGTAATAAATTCACATTTTTAGCACAGCTGCTGATACTTGCATGTATTTTGCACAATGATTTACCAAGATTCAAGTTTACACTGAAGTCTACCTACGACTGGAAACAGAAATAAAGGGAATGCCTCAGGCCGTTCATGTAAGAGGTATGTAAAAATACACATGCTGCTCTGTTGAGAGATGGAACATGTTACGTTATCATCACTACAGATATGCGGACAACAATCATTTTCACTTTAAACTTAAACCTTTTCAGGCACATGAATGGACGCCGATCGGCGACGGTGTGATATAGCGTGTACCGCATCTGTATCCTGGTCTGTGGGGATAAGCACTACGTGGGAGGAAGGTGTTAAGGGTACGCATCTTTCAAAATGAACAAATAAGATACATAAATAAGGTTATAAATCAAAATGTACATATCAAAATAGAATATAAGGTTATAAACAAAAAAAGAACAAAGTGTTTCTCCTTTAAGGGGAGACTTGTACCAAGAACAGTAAAAAGTAGCCTACAGTTGTCACATCCATATTATGTCGAGGGTATATAAAAAATATGTGTATATATACACATGCATGTATGATGAATAATACTAACACTAACCCCCCTTTGATTCACACAGCAGTATGAAATTCAAAACGTGGATGGAAGAAAAAAGATTTGGGTTATAATCACGCTGAAGGGTCTTGAGAATAAAGAGATGGACAGTAACACGATAAAGTTCATTTACTCATTTGGTGTATCAAAAAAGAAGAGAAAAAAAAGCAAGATAAACAGGCAGAAACAACAGGGGGAAAAACAAAAAGTAAGACCAGTCAGTAGTTCTGTCCTATCATCTGCCAGGTTAAAGGAATAAAAACAAAAGAAAATCAATAATGTTCATCACTGGCACCAGGTCGTGATTTAAAAAGTGAGTATACACTTGTATTTGTGAAAAGGGAACAAGAGAACTTATTTAGAGATTGGGTTATGACGATCTTGCATCAACAACAACAATCTACAACATGTGATGAAACAACAGCTCTAAAAGTTGGGAAAGATCACAGAAGAGATGGAAAAAGTTTATAAGCTTGGAAAAATGTAGCTACAATCGAGTCGGGCCAGACAGATACTGAGTCCACTTGAAAGCGAAGCTCCCTCTCAATGCGTGACAGCAAAAGAGGACGGAAAAAGGAAAAAGTGAAAAGAAGGTGATACAGGCAATGGAAGATAGCATGCTCACAAGTTGTTCAAAAGTATGATCAAAATTCAGAAGAATGAAGAGTGCCGTATTGATCATTTGTGTCACGACGTGGTGGAATCGGGTGCTTGTCAGTTTTTGGGCATGTGGAGTTATTGGTATCATCTTAAAGCATGTTCAGTTGTCTTGCTATTGGAGAAAGAAAATGCCCATCTATCTTGAAGTCAAGATGTTTGAGATTGAAGAAGAAAGGGTCACCTGGTTTCAAAGGTAGAATTAGCGAGAAAATGGGCGCCAAAGTTTGGCCATTTCCATAGCTCGTTAGTCTGTGGAAACTTACATTTTTTGTGCCTTTAATCAACGTTGTTCAGTGAAACCTACCGAGAAATGTGTTCTTAATTGGACAACAATGGCGTAAGCCAAAAATGAAAAATTAATAAAAACTGCCAAACTGGCAGAAAAATGCCAGTTCCTTCAATTTCATTATTTTGACGAGCGCCTGATTTCACTACGTTGCCCCACATTTCATTTCCTCTTGCTCATTGGAGTTCTACATTTTCTCATGCTATTATTTTTCTTAAACGTGAAGCCATAGTATTACAACATTGTATGAATAAAGATCATTGCAAGATGGACAAATTTTCTAAACACAAGGCTCATATATAATATATATCTAAGTCAAGCTAACAATACATCAGTCACATCAGGTAAAAAAGAGCAAAGGAAAATTAGAAGACACAATATATGACACCTCAGATTGAGAATGGAAGAAAGTCAAAAGCTCATTTGACAATCTTGTACCCTTCTGTTAAAAGGTTCATTGGAATTCATACTGGTGAGAGGAAGGCCTTGAATGAAAACAGAATTTCTAAATGGCAACAGCCAGCAGAAAGAAATTGAATCCAAAACATCATCCCTAAATGCGAGAGGATAATAAATAGCTCAATACGTAACTTGCTGACATGTAGGAAATTTAGGATATAAATTTTGGCCTTATGCTTAGCTGAAAACAGGATGTAATTCTTGACGCATGTTCTCATTTTCTTTACAGCCTCTCTCAATACAAAAGTGTTGTAAAAAGCATTTACCTACTATAGAGACCAAAAGAGTATGACATTTGCATAGAGTCAACTGATCCAGTGTGTGTTCCAGTAAATCTGTAGGTCAGGCATTACAGCAGAAGAAACAGACAAGTAAGAAAGGGTTGAGCAGGAGAGAAACAATATGGGTCACAACATGGTGGAATCAGGCGCTTGTCAATTTTTGGGCATATAGAGTTAGAGATATCATCTTAAAGGTTGTTCATTTGCCTTGCTTTCAAAGAAAAAAATATCCATTTTATCTTGAATAGAAGTAGATATATTTGTGATTGAAGGAGGTGGGGTCGTCTGGTTTCAGAGGTAAAATTAGCGAGAAAATGGCCGCTAAAGTTTGGTGACTTCCATAGCTTAAGAGTCCTTGCAAACTGCAGATTTAAATTTGTTGTGCCTTTAATCAACATTTTTCCATAAAATGCACACATGAAAGTGTTCTTAAATGGACAAACAAGGGGTTGAGCCAAAAAAAAAAAATTAAAAAAAAATTTCCAAACTGGCGGAAAAAGCTGATTTCTGGGATTTCATTATTTTGACAAGCGCCTGATTTCACCACGATGCCTCACATATATCCTGAACTGTGCTAATCACAGACCACATGCAATCTGTGACTGATTCGTGGAAAATCATCAGGACTTCCACATTGTGTCAACAGGCTATCCAATGTCCCCAGTTGGTGTACTCAGTCAGCAGCCTTGTCTACAGTAAGCTGATGTGACAAAGTGTCTAAATTGGTCGCTTTTAAGGACAAGCAGGCTAACCCAGATTTCGGGGGTTTCCTACACCAAAAGTGGGCATTGCCCTACCTGTAGGAGAAATTTTGTTTCATTGGTGCGTATATTTGTCCGGATATAGAGAAGGCAAACACTTTACCTTCAATTTTCTCAAAACAGCATTTTTCGGGATAGCCCACTTTTGCTTAAAAGCGACCAATAGAAGCTGATGTGACAAAATGTCTAAACTAATACTGAGAAAAGAATGAAAGCCACCTTGCCGTTAGCATTCACAATCAAATAATGTAAAATAATCAGTTCTGTAAAGTAGAAATGCATAATATATGTTTGAAATTTACAGTGCTACAGGCTTTACAGAAAACTGAATCTAAATGATTTAATTTCACTGTGTTACAGGTTATGTATACTCGGCAAAATGTTATACAGTTTCCCTGTTTTTCACGTCATTTTTTTATCCAATGCTTTTCTAAAAACTTTAAGACATACTGGCCTTCTGTAGTGAACTGGCAACAATCATTCACAAATAAGTTTTACTAAAAAAAAAAAGCATATCATCAAACATTTCAGCTTCCCTTCCATATCATCTGTGGATTACAAGATCCTCAAGATACTCAGCTTTTAAGGTTCGAGTATAACAAGGTGATAAATTCCTCGATATTAAAATAGTGAACATTAAAAAGCACTAACATCCCAAAAAAAAGTCTGCATGACGCAACACAAACTTTTAAAAGAAATTCGAAATGCGTACCTAGCTACCTTTAACAAATGTTTTGAGAATTAAAAAGAAAAAAAATCGTACCTCCTTTCCACATGATTTTGATAAACAGTATTGGCATTTTAAAAAAAGAGGAATACTTTTATGGACATTATATCGTAAATTTCTGCTTATAAAGACAAAAATCACTATGAGAGAATGGCATTACCTTCAAAGAGAGATTCTACTTTGAAAGTGATGCTAGCTAGTCATGAGACAAAAGTTTTCAACAAAATAATGATTTGTGGGTTACATGGGGTAGCCTTAAACTAATTTAAAAAAAAAAAAATGATATGTTGAATTTCCAAAAAAGGTTAAGTATAGAAAAATCTAAAAAAAATAGCCAGAAAGGATTATTGCTATTCATCTTTACTCCCACCATCACAAAAAGCATACAAGAAAAAAAAATACAGGTACAAAGTGGCAAGAATTCTCAGCTATACATTCTAGGAAATACGCTGAATTTATCAATATTAATTAAGTTAAAGAATATTCATCATTAACTATCAGGGTTGCATACATATCTAATTCTCACTGAAGTAGTAAAATAATGTCACAACCAAAGATTCAAAAGGTTTCATCTACAAATTATAAAGTAGATAAAACATTTTGACTCTGGGAGAGTGAAAAATCCTTTCACTTTCACCCAAGCTGAAATCTCAGCCCAATGAATATATAAATTTATATATATACTTTGACTGCAACATCAACAACTGACAAAGTGTATAAAATTTCATCTGTTCAGTTATATGAAAGTGAAGGGGTGCCATATCTAAAGAGGGAAAAGTGTAATAGTGCATTCCCATGTATATATATATATATATATATAGAAGCAATAATTAAAGAAAAGGACTATATATTGCACTTGTCCATAAAAAATGCATTGGTTAAATAAAACAGGGGTGCCCAGATGAAATAGAAATGAGGATACATCTGTACAGTTAGAATTCACAGCTCAGAAGATGAATGCAAACTTCAGTAGGCTCTGCCGTTGAGAATAGGTGCGGGTGAAACTTCTAGACAACACAGTTGAACCTAGTCTATATTTGAACGTGACAAATTCATGAAGTTCTTACACACAAAGATCCTTACATCATAAAGGAGTGTTTGTTTCAAACTTTGTATTTTCAAGGCCTAAGTAAAAATCCATCTTCATTTCAAAGTCTTGTAACAACTAGAAGGGGGTTATTTTTCCAATGTCAATAAATACTTGCATCCGTGAAAAACATGATTTTTTTTGTAAATGAAAAAGACACAAAATATATGACACATGTGAATATTGCGGACATTAATTAACATCAATACTCCTTGCCGTCTCATCGATGAATCTGTGCGTGGCCCAAGGTAAAGCTGACGTCACTGGTATTTATATCCTTTGGATCCAAGTCCATGTTGGAATAAAACTGACCATACACAGGGCAGTGGTCACTCACAACCCCACCCCACGTCCAACCGTTGGGGATCCAGTGACTGGAAAGGCCATCCCTGACAACTCCACTCACACCTGCAGGAAAACAAAACAGGTCATCACTCTAACAGGTCAAGCAGCAGTCAGATCAAATAGATATGTGTCCATATGTGTCGCGACGTGGCGGAATCAGGCGTTCGTCAATTTTTGAGCATGTGTAGTTATTGGAATCATCTTAAAGCTTGTTTAGTAGCCTTGCTAAGGGTGAAAAAAAATGGCCATCCATCTTGAACAGAAGTCGAGATATTTGAGATTGAAGAAGGAGGGGACGCCTGGTTTCAAAGGTAGAATTAGCGAGAAAATGGCCGCCAAAGTTTGGTTATTTCCATAGCTTGATAGTCCGTGCAAATTAAAAAACTAACGTTTTTTGTGCCTTTAATCAACGTATTTCAGTAAGATCCACCAAGAAATGTGTTCTTAATTGGACAACAATGTGCTAAGACAAAAAAACAAAAATTCGAGAAAAATTGCCAAATAAGCAGAAAAATGCCACTTTCTCCCACTTTATTATTTTGATGAGCGCCTAATTCCACCACGTCGTGACACATATGCTGCAGTTTCAAAGCAAAAACCTAGTCCACACAAATCCAGTCTCACAGATTCTTCTTAAGATTTGATGTGACTAATGTGAGCAAAAAATGTATGGTTGGCAGCCATGGTCTTTATTGATCTGTCAGCCTCATGATGGCTGGTCACTATGATGTTAGTCACAAAAGAGGTTATGAAAAAAACACACCAAAAAAAAATACTATCATATCTGAAACCACTTCACAAACTCTATAATATGACCCCTGAAAGGTCACAACCCCCATATTCTATCATTGGTAGAAAGGAAACTGCATCTGATGATATCCTAGACTACCAGTTATGGAAACTGCTTCTTGTCTTTCACCCCATCCGTACATCATGTTTTACTATCATATCCATACGATGTGGGGAACTCTGTGTCACCACTTTCCAAAGAGGAAATTTACTCATTAATCCTATCCGTGCGCTTTGCACAGCAGTCTGCCAAAATGATTTTTCGAGAAATACTAAAAGTTTCAAAGAGATCTTCTCACTAGAAGTATTCTAAAATGTGAATAATACAGACCCGGGGTACAAAATGACTCCAGGGCCTACGGATAAGGTTAAGACAAAGCATCCAATTATAACAACCCCCGCCACCCCAATCATTTAAAACCAGAAAGAATTCTGCTGCTTTGAGAAGGTTCAAAATAATTGAGAGTTTATAGCGAGTCTCCATAAACAACTTGACAACAGAGGGGAGCTGACGGCATGATAAAAACTTTGAATGACCCCAACCCCAATTGATCGCTTTAAATCACAAGGGGGGCTATCCCGTAAATGCTGTGTTGAGAAAACTGAAGGTAAAGTTTTTGCCCCTTGTTCAGTTTCTTTAAAAGACAAGGAGAGTTTTCTCTATAATCAAACAAATAAACTCACCAATGAAACCAAACTTCTCCTATAGGTAGGGAAATGCACACTTTTGGTGGAGACTAAGATTTCTGGAAACCCCCGAAATCTGGGCTAGCCCGCTAGTCCTTAAAAGCGACCAATTTGAACATGAGAATAAGAAATGGAAAGGAAGTGATAGAACCAACCCAAAAAAGGAGCAACTGTGCTGAACCAAAAAAGTCCTCACCTGTATACACTTTGCGAGTATCTTTGTTGATCCAGAGATTGTCATAGTTCTTGCTGCCAGAAACATTGCTGTTGCTTATGTTGGTGTGGGTGTCTGCCGGGATGCAAGGCGTGTAATCTTCAGACTTCAAAGTGCTGAAAGCTGGAAAAATAATAGTAGGCATAATATTCAAATCATAAGAAACTGTCATTTCTGTCATCAAAAGAAATCATAGACATTGTCACACTTAACACCCTGCCACCTCATCTCGTCGATTGGCGATGTTTACAACTCAGTTTCTTTGGATTTCCCCCAAAATATGATGGCAAAGGGTTAATAAAATTATAAGCTGGCTTACAAAGCCAACTTGATCACACCAAAAGAAAGCCATACAGCACAGTACAAATGTTTGGTGGAAATGAGAAACTAGGCATTAAGAAGAGTTACTCATTTTTCTTGTCAAGAAAGAACAAGCTCAGCTTTTACTTGATATAATAAGCACCAAATGAAAAATGCACTGTAAAATTAGAAAGCTGATCACGAATGGGTGATGCCATCAACAGGCAGCACAATTGATAAAACATGACCCGACGTCTGCAATTAAATGTTGAGGCTCTTTGCCGCTGCTTGCAAAAGACAAGAGTTCAATTCCCATGCAGGTCAGTCTTTTTTATCGAGTCTGTCCGTCTTTCTGTTGAGACACTGTGTCCCACTCAGCCTGTGTAGATCCTGACAAGTAAGACTGAAGAAGCCTGCCTTTGACATGATGTAGCTTGTGTCAACAGGGCCGGAAAATATTGAAAATATCACACGTAAACATGAGGATAATAAGTGACTATGTTTAACATTAAACAGATTGTTCGCTTAACATAAAGCTGCAATTTGGATGGCATATCAATGGTATTATGCTCCAACAGTAAATATTTGTTCTTAGAAATTTTTCATCCAAACAACAAAAAAACCTTCTGATTTAAATGTTGAGAAAGGACACACGTTAGTCCACAGTATTTTTATACTATTTAAAGTACATGCTCACTTCTGAGTTTGATTCAGGACCTGCAAATCGACCTGGGCAACCGTTTTAGAACCAAAAAAGAAAGGTAGACCTACTTCTTACAACACCACTGATATGTTCTCTATACACATGGGATGAGTTTAATGCTATATTCAACACTGTAAACTGTAAGATTATTCTAGAGGCAGGACCTCAGAATTTAATCTCCACCTCTGACAGGACCAAGGCAAGTAAATGGAGAGCCTTAAAAACTCCCCAAACAGTTTAAATTCATAAACATCCTATGAATAATAATAATAATAAACAGCATTTGTGCAGCGCATGTCCCCACTCAAAGGCAGGCTCTATGCACTTTACACTATATCATTACCCCAGCAGACAATAGAACACTCAGAAACATTCTCAGCTTCCCGGAAAGCATGCAGTGCAAGCAGCTAGTTAAGCGCTCAAACACTAACAAACTGACAAGATCTTTCGCTGTCTATAGCCGGGTACCCATTCCCACCTGGGTGAAGTGAGGAAAATTCGTGTAAAGTGCCTTTCCCAAAGAAAAAACGTCTGGCCCGCGGCTCGAACCCCAAACCCGCAACCTCACGACTACGAATACGGTAGCCCAACCACTATTAAGGATGTAAATCATGGGTCATTGAAATGGAAGCCCTGCATGACACCAACTGAGCTAATGAAGCAGCCCTCTCTTTGTGGAGGAAAAAATAGCAAGAGACAGTATTGCTCACTGATGCTACGAAGTAGGACAAAGGGGGGGGGGGGGGGGCGAACCCGCACGAACCCGCAACACACTGAGCATTGGACAGTCAAACTGTCCCCGATGTTTTATGCACCATGCATAATTTAGCAAAATTTGATCATTTTTTGCATAATTTCTGATTATTTTCCTAAATCATTCATTGTTAAAATTAACAGAATCCCATAATTTGACATTTTTGGGCTCAGTTTGCATAATTTTATAATTTTTCTTGCATAAAACGACGGGGACAGGTCAAAGCAAGGAAGCTCTAATGCCTATTCAAGACATTCTACTTAACACTTTGAGGTCACTTGGCAATAATGCACCGGTGAAAATTATCCAATCTGGTCACCTGGTGTAGTTCTGCGCCATGCCAGCGCGAGAAGTCCGTTGCAGTCGCTCTCCTGGCTGGGTGACCAGATCGGGGGATTTTGTACTGCTGGCTGTGTGACCGCAAAGAGTTAACTTCGACTTACCTTCTGTGTCTGGCTCGAGATTGAAATCTCCGACAATGATGACATCTTTCTCACCTGGATGAAGTAAAAAACACAAAAAAACTTGAACTAATAAGTCTTTCAGTTTCAAAAGTTGTTCCCACTAAAATAGAGCAGATTCATGCACAGCTACTGCTCAGTGCAGGACTCTGTCATACATCACTTTTAATGATGGTGTGTACAGTAGTCTTACACTGAGCAGGCCACATGTATATTCATCTTAGTTTGGCACCTGAGACACATGCCTCACTAGTTTAACCCTATCCGTACGCCCTGGGCTCATTTTGTACCCCTGGGGATGTATTCTTCACATTTTAGAATACTTCTAGATCTAGTGCGAAGATTTCTTTGAAACTTTCAGTATTTCTCAAAAAATCGTTTTAACAGACTGCTATGCACAGTGTATGGATCGGATTACAGAGTAAATTTCCTCTTCGAAAAGTGGTGGCACAGAATTCCCCTAGTCGTATGGATATGACAGTAAAACACGAGTCACGGATTTTTAAAATTATAGTACAGGGTTTTACGCCGTTTGCAACTGCATAAGGTCAAATGAGCGCCACTAGGGTTAAATCACGAGATTGCAAACACACATGGTCAACATAATTCTGAACAAAAAAAACCCCCTTCATCAGACTGATTGGACCAAGTAAGGTCTCGTATAACAGACAGAGCTAACATGATGAAAATAGTTAAATTCTGTTAGTTATTTGTGAAAAAGAAAACAAAGTGCTGAAATCGGTATTTTGGTCAAAATATGCTTTTCACATCATGATAAAACATAGAACATCCTCATTAAAGCATTTCTCCAACTTTGCTTAAATACTGTTTCACAGCTTTTCACATTTTATTTTAAAAAAAGGGGGGGGGGGATATCATGCTCTCACTAGACCACCTATCAAATTGTACAAAATTCAGAGCCTCCAATATTAAAAGCTTCAATGGATTTATGATTTTTAGGTTAAAAAAAGTTTTAAAAAGTACTTTACCTAGCAATTGAAAAGCTATCTAAAAACAGAACTATACAAAACTTGATGAAAAGAGATTACATCACCGCTGTGACAAGAAAACTGAAGTACTGTTTGATCCTGTTTTACAGAGGGATGAAAATATATTGGAGTTATTCATTTTTCTTGCAACAGCGACGACTTGTACCAAAAAGCAAGGAACTGAAAATGTATTAACAAATCATGTACACTCCCCATTATGCTTACCTCGAATCTCCGCCTTAATCACATCAATCAAATCAGTGACAGTACCCACTTCCTTCTCTGTTCTGTGTCTGTCGCGGTCATCAAGACCGGTAGCCTTTAAGTGGACATTGGTAACCACACAGTCAAAATTGTTGTTGATCTGAGGTGGACGGAAGGAAGAGAAGTTAAAGATTTGGTGTCCATGGCACTTCCTAATACAGGCATACACACAACCCCCCTCAACCAAAAAAAAACAACAACAAAAAAACAAAAACAAACAAACAACAGAAAAAACACTATCAACTCTCAACAAACCAAAAACACTGAAAAAACCCCCAAATAGAATCTACTCTTAGAAACAAAAAGTTCTGAACCCCCTAAAAATTAAAAAACCTCATCCCCTTCACACCATGTTTACTCTTTTTTTAAAGTTAAGTACAAAAAAAGATATTTTAGTCCATAAAGATTGCAAAGCTCCAAAACATTTCAATGACAATGCTCTCTTGCACCTTTTTGAGCATACACCTTAGATGAATCTACTAGTTTAAGTAATAAGTAAGTGTTTTACGGCACTTGCAACACAATAAGGTCATATATAAGTGCCGAAGTTTAGAGGTGTTACAAGACAGAAACAAACACAAAAAAAAAAAGAAGGAGGGGAGATGAAGGAGATAGATGTTTGATAGGAATGAAGGAGCAAACCACACAAGAGCACCCGCCAACCACAAACACAATGAATCTACAACTTAAACTTAAAACTTAAAAGATTTCTTCTTTACAAATAATCTTATGACAAGGTGTGTACTAAATATGTACCATTTTTGTCTTAATTGGGAAAAACAGTTTCAAAGGTAAAATGCAGACTAACAAAATAAAACTCACTTTGAATATACCCATGTAAGGCATTCTCACAAATGGCTTTTTATGCCCCTCTTTCTTCTGTAACAAGGAATGATGCACAATCTCAATATTTTGAGACTTGTCATATAAATATCCCAGGTACTCCATACTCTGAAAAACAAAAACAAAAAGCACATACACATATATTTCTAATTATAGTAACTTCTATTCTTATCTCGGAAGTATCAACAAGAGGATGGTGGCAAACATGAATTAGCGCGTCCTTGATTTAGTTTTTTTTTAGTTTAGTAGAGGTTTTACGGCGCTTGCAACTGCATAAGGTCATATGAGCACCAGAAGATTAGAGGTGTTACAAGAGAGTAACAAACATAAAAATGAAGAAGGGGAGATAAGGACGATAGATGTCTGATAGTAAAGAAGAAGCAAACCACACCAGAGCACCCTCCAACCACCCAGCGCATCTTCGATTTAGTTAGAGTTTTACGGCACTTGCAACACAATTAGGTCGTACAAGTGCCGAAGATGAGAAAAGTTACAAGAGTGTAACAAACACAAAGGAGGAGTGATAACAACCTGACCACACCGGAGCACCTGCTAGCCACCCACTGCACCAATGAATCAGTGCAGAGACAGGTCTAGATTTGGGACTGGCGAAAAAAAAAAAGCCCACAGTATTAATTTAACATCCCATCAACACCCAAACATAGGAGGTAGGATTTGAATATTTAATGTCCATAAGAACAAGCTATGCTAGTGGAAAGCCTTAAAAACTCTTGAAATTACCTACATTCCTATTAAAGATTTGAACCACACCCATCTGTACCATGGCCCAGAATGATACTAAATCAGAGAATCATATACCCGGACAGCTCACCAACCAGCATATGTTTCAGTAATCAACAAATAAAAAATTCGTTATAAGGCAATGAATATTCTTTTTCCCCTTCTTTTTAGTTTTAGTAAGAATTTTACGGCACTTGCAACACAATAAGGTCATATAAGTGCCGAAGATTAGAGGTGTTACGAGAGAGTAACATATACAAAAAAGAAAGAGGAGAGATAACGACAATAGAAGTTTGATAGGAAAGAGGGAGCAAACCCCACTAGAGCACCCACCACCCACACTAGTCAACTGCACAATCAACACAGAACATAATAATAATACGCAGACTGATTCAGCATACATGCCGTCATTTGTTATGATAAAACAGTGCCCCCCCCCCCCTCCTCCTCCCCCCTCACACACGCACAAAATGTGATAACAGTAAGACTTCCCTACAGCTGGGACAAAGTGGTGACAACTGATATCATCAGGTACATTTCAGTAAAATCAATACACCGGCAGGCAAACCTTTTGATCAAGGCCATTGAGTTAAAAACATAAAATGAGTCAGCCCGAAAATAAAACCCCCACATTACGTTAGAAACAGAATATTGGGGGCTCCACTGGCTAAGTGAGCAGTGTGTTTAGACTCAAGCAATGTCAAGCAAGTGTCAGTGACACGGGGATCAGATGGGTGGTCACTGGGATGTGTCCTTGAGCAAGACATGACAAACCTAGCTCAAAATACAGGGCGCTGCACAGTGGCGACCGACAATGGAATGGTGGTAAACTGTTCTGTATTTGTGTAATAGTGTGTATTTATGTATGTATTTGTGCATGTATTTATGTATGTACATGTTTATAATTATGTATTTATGTATGTATGTACATTTGCCATAGTAAACCAAAGAGCCCTTCTCGGACAAATAAAAGTAATTTATTATTTATGATAATAGTAAGAACAGAAGGAACAGGCTCGTCCAAAACAAAGTGGATTACTAGATCAGGAGAGAAAACAAAGAATAAAAACCTCCACAGGAAAAGAATGATAAAAGCATTAGCCCTCCACTAACCATAGTTACAAAAAACGAAGTTTTCAGAGTAGCTGTATGACAAATGTGTCTCTTCCATAAAAGAAAGGTCTACGTTTACTGCAGATTTTGGTACCATATTTTACATCTCAATCAATGTTTAAGAAAAAGGCTGCCGTTTTAATATGATCAAATATTGTGAAATTCACTAATTGGCTGCATCCCTATGTTTGACAAATGATCAAACAGTACCAAGTGCACCAAACATCTATACATTAACAGAGCACAATCAAAATAACGTAAGGATTAGAGGTGTTACAACAGAGTAACAAACACGAAAAAGAAGGAAGGACGAGATGTTTGATAGGAAAGGAGGAGCAAACCACACCAGAGCACCCGCCAACCAGCCACACAAAACTTACTTGGAACATACGCCCAGCAGCTTTCGAAACCACACATGCCCACTTGCCCCTTCGTCCTGACCACTTTTTCACATTGGGAAGAGTTGGGTGGTTCAGTTCTTGGACAATCTGAACAAGATCAAAACCACAAACATACATCAAAATACAAAGTGACTAGATGACCAAAGAGCTGAATAGTTACATCATGCATATATGTATATATTCTTGCACGCATATTTTACCCCAAAATAGGCTCATTATAGTTCGATCACCCAAAAGAGCAAGAGTGTCCAAACAAATATTTTACATTCATATAATAATTCCCAATAACACTGAAGACAATGTTGGACAAATAACAAAAAAAGGTACATTTAAAAAACTACACATAGCCCTGTGAAGTTGAGGGGATGATTGGTTGGGGGGGGGGGGGGGGGGTATGGGGTTCATACACTAAGAAATAGTACAAACACACAAAACCATAGAAATCAGTTGCACTGAGGGTTGATGATCTATCTGTTGGATATCCTTGCAGAATACAGAAGAAGCCTAAATAGATCAAATTAATGTAACAAAAAGACTCAAAAGTTCCAAAAATGATAACAATTTAACTTTCAGCCCTCAAAACTGAAAGACATTTGCGTACAATTAATTCAGTCATCATCTTAGAGACAACACTTCACGTTTTTTTGTTTTTATGAAGTTTTAGTAGAGGTTTTACGGCATTCGCAACTGCATAAGGTCATAAGTCATGAGCGCCAGAAGATTAGAGGTGTTACGAGAGAGAAACAAACATAAAAAAGAAGAAAGGGAGAAAAGGACGATAGATGTATGATATGAAAGAAGAAGCAAACCACACAGGAGCACCCGCCAACGACCCACTCACTTAGGGTTGATGATCTATCAGTTAGATATCCTGGCAGAATACAGAAGAAGCCTAAATAGATTAAAATAATGTAATAAAAAGACTCAAAAGTTCCAAAAATGAAAACAATATAACTTTCAGCCCTCAAAACTGAAAGAAACTCGTTTACAGTTAATTCAGTCATCATTTCATACAGGGTGCCCACTATGGATGGGATCGTCCGACTCGGTCGCCTCAAAAACAAAACGTTTGTTTTAAGTTTCAGGCGACCGAGTCAGGCGATCGGCCCGATCCAGCCGTAGCGGGCACGCTGTATTAGACAACACTTCACGTTTGCATGAGTGGAGAAGCGACACATATGTACAGTCTCACGTTTGAGAGGAGAAGTGACTCATGTAGTCTAACTAAATGCTTACTTCGTCCAGAGCTTCCTCGTCAGCCAGTTCCTGTACAGCAATGATGCTAAACCTGGAAGGCGAAATCACCAAGGTCAAAATAAAAAGTGTCATTTCAGAAAAAAAACAAAAGAAAAGGGAATATTTGATTCATTATAATGTCGTAAGTGCTCATCAACACAGTCCAGATCATTAAGGAGGAGAGCATTGCAGACCATGCCTGTCAAGGCTAACCTCAGGGATTCCTGAGATACAGCTCCCCCGTTATTTCATTAACTAATTACCCCGTATTCATAAAAGATTTTTAACAAGTTTTTTTTCACAAGGATTTTAATCGAAACTATCCTATAAGATACATTTATTCTGCAAACTTTTAATTCAAATCTTCATCCAGCATGAAAACCTACTTCTATTCTCTGTTGATAAGAAGATAAACAATGAATTTTCCCTGCACATCATAAAAGCATTTTGGAATCAGGGTGGCAATTGAGTAACCTATAAAAGTAATTGAATCAATGAGGGACGAAAACGCGTGGGATGAAAGCGGGTACAACGAAACGCAAAAATGAAAATAGTGGGACAAACACGGGTTCTCCCCTCAGAGTTTTTTTGTTTTAGTAAGTGTTTTACCGCACTTGCAACACAATAAAGTCATATAAGTGTCGAAGATTAGAGGTGTTACATACAAGAGAGTAACAGTAAACACAAAAAAGGAGGGGAGATAAAGACGATAGATGTTTGATAGGAAAGAAGAAGCAAACCACACCAGACCACCCGCCAACCACACACCCTCAGAGTTTACAAGTCAACTTTCAAATTAAAGGAGAGAAAAGGGAGAGCTGGCTGTGATCTCTTTCATTTGCTCAAAACCTTTTACTTGACCAACAACCAATTCCCCCCCCCCCCCCCCCCTAAAAAAATAAACCCACAAAAAACAAACAAAACAAAAAAACAAAAAACAACCAAACAACCATGAAAAACATGCAGATTGCTTTGGACATTAAAAAAAAAAGTTAAACATTAAAATAGTACTTTCTATGTCTGCATCCAATTCACCTTTAGTACTCAAAAGACACTAGTCAGGGGGCTCTCAAGGTTACGGTGTTTGCCTCTCATTCAATTGGTCATGGGTTTGGGTTCGAAACCTGACAGCGACGGAAAATTTTCTTCTCTAAAATGTTTTCCTTTCACTTGCTTTCCTGCTCTCTAACCATGTTCTGCCTTCTGCTTTTGTCTCCACTTTGTGTCCCCTCCTCCCCTCCCCTTTACACCTTCATCCGGGCTCTTGACTCTTTCTGCCGCCTTTCTATTGCTACTCCTTGGCTCCCTCTCACTGCTGTCTTTCAGCCACACCCCTGATCTTATGCTGGGGTAAGATCAAACTCCTGGCTTTCCCGGATAAAGGTGGAAAATCTCGGAGGTCCCGTGTGAAAGCTGCACACGTTAAAGACCCCTTGATGGTCATAAAATTGATAAAAGTAGGCTTCGGCTGCCACCAGGCAAAATTCAAAATTCCTATGAAACTGAAAAGTGTTAAATGTTTCCAGCGCACTCATACGAGCTTATGTAGTACGAGCGCCGTAAAACACTAACCAAAACAGAACACTAAAACACCTACCCCGCCCCTTAAAAAAAATAGCACTTACCCATTTTCTAGAATAGTCATACAAATGACATCTTTGACTCCGGGATTCTTTGCCTTTTCAGTGGAAAATCTTTCCAAGTTCCAGGATGCAAGCCGAAACACTTTCCTGTTTTTATGTTTCAGAGTTATTGGTGCCACATTAGGTCGCTCCGGGATTTTTGCCAATGGGCCCAAAATTTCTAGCAAGTTCTCCAAAGACGACGTGGACCTCCGAGTGTAGTCAGAATCATTTTCAAGACCACCACGAGATGAATGATCACAACTTGACTTTCCATTCTGATGACTATGATCATTACTGTTGACTGGAAATTTATCTGCAACACACACATACTGCCGAAAAGCATCAAGAGATGTTGGCCCAATGCCCTTGACTCTAATCAAATCATCTACAGATGAAAATGTCCCATGTTTATCTCTGTACACAACAATGTTCTTAGCAATTCCCATTCCGATACCTTTCACTTTTAGAAGCGCAAACACATTCGCCGTATTTATGTTGACTTGGGTCACGTTCTCGTCATCGCCACTCGCATTTGACAGCAGACGAAGTGGGGCTTTTCCTTCACTGCTTTTCCTGTCATCTAAGACGGGGGGAATAACATAAATGTCGTCCCGAATTGTGGCTAATCTCTCAGCTCCAACACCAGAGGCTAGTGCCAGGTCCTCGGTGCAGCGGTAGCCTCCTATGTGATTCCTATGGTCAATGATGTTCTTTGCTATACACCGGTTTATCCCTGGTAAGGTCATCAGCTCTTCCTCGCCGGCCGTGTTGACATTCACAAGACTTGCTACAGTGCTCTTCTCCGACTCAATCGTGGAAAGATTGAACGTAGCGCTCAAATTCCGACGGTGACCTTTGCCTTTTGGTGTGCTTGTGGTCGCGTGTCTCTCCTCACCAAAGCCCTTGCGAGGGATGCAGCAGCTGTTTAAGCCCCCCATGATGATGGTTCTCAAGGCACAGACTATAAAGAAATAAGTGATGCAACCTCAGATATTTCCTGTCTGCTGCATGAAGCTAGCCTGCCATAACTTGATCACCATTCTCCTTCCCCCACTGGTTCATTAGGATTAGGTCAGGACACATGGTTGGACATTAAATAGGACAACAACCTGTAAACAAAAAAAGAAAGTAGAAAAATTCTAAATTCTTGAAAACACTTCATAACATTTATTTTCATGATAAATATATGTTCCCTCCACTTCTATGATTCAAAAATTAAATTATGTTAAGTACCATACTAAAAGTACTGAAAGCGCTACGTTTCATGTCGTCATTCCTTCTACTCAAGCTCCTCCTCCACCTTGATTTCACTTCGTGTCCAAAAGGGCCCATCTACATCAATTTAGACCCCCCTCCCTGTCTCTCTCTGTCCTTCTGTCTGTCATGTTTTAATACGCACAAACAATTCATTTGAAATACAATATTGACATTGTTTCAGTAAAATGATTCCATTTAGCGTTATTTTGATGAGTTTTTGTTGTGTTTTGGTGAGCTTTGATGAGTTTTTTTGTGAGTTCCGGTGAGTTTCGAGAGTTTCGGTAAAAAGACATCATACCCTTAAATGCCTTATAATTGACAGAAATCACATGTATACCATGTAGTCTATTTAATTACGAAGTGACTATTTCTCTGTCTGAATGCTTGGGAAAATAAACTTGACCTCTATTTCTCCGAACGGTTTCCGTTCTTGAGATTTCTTGGTTATTTGCGAGAGTTCATCGTCATCTTTCATTCTCTGCCTTTCTGTGAGGACTGGGGGGAAGCATTTTTTGCATCGAATCCAATTTCTACAGCTAGAAAATTTTAGATGTCTGAATATTCAGACACTTCAATTGTGGCTGGGGCAACGTTCCCAGACTATACTTCATTTGAAAATGCCTTCAAAAGGTACTGCGAGAAAACAAGACTGCTCGAATTTGGCAGTAACCTGTTTTGCATTTAGTCACCCCTAAAGTCTTGTAAAGCAAAAACGAAATCACAAAAAATTCCTAAACGCACACACGCCCCCCCCCCCCCATTTACCCCTTACACAGACACACACGCACACTCTCTGTCTCTCTTTTTCACACACACATGCACACACACACACACATACACACACACACACACACACACACACACACACGTGCGCGCGCGCGCAGGCCACTCCATTCGCAAATAACCAAAAAATCTCGAGAACGGAAACCGTTAGGAGAAATAGAGTTCAAGTTTATTTACAAAAGCGTTCTGAGAAATAGAGCCGGACATTTAATTATGGCCACCTCTATTCTAACCCCGGGTGAGAATAGCGCAGGCGAACCTTTTGGCTATTCTCACCCGGTGTGCGTTCACCATGATAAGCCAACCAGTGTAGCCTTCACCGTGAACAAACGTTCCAGTGCTCTTGTGTTGAAAGCGTGCAATTTTGTCAGTAGGGAGAGAGAGAGAGAGAGAGAGAGAGAGAGAGAGAGAGAGAGAGAGAGAGAGAGAGAGAGAGAGAGAGAGAGAGAGAGAGAAGTAGCACGAGAGCTTCCGGGCAAAACAAAATGGCGACCCGCATTTCGGCTCGATTCGAAAAGTGAAATAGCTGTAGCTGTAGCATCTTTGTAGACCACCAAATTAATTTACTTTTGTGCTATAACATCATTTTTTCTTAGCTTTTGTCAATTTGACCATCCACACCGATAAAAAGACAGTGTATTCAGAAATAAGGAAATTTTGAAACAGGTCTTGTTTCACACCGGGTGAGAATAGTCAATGCTGGCAAGTCTTACCCAGGGTGAGAGGTCGATCCTGTTTTTACTCTCATGCGGAGTGAGAATAACCACTTCCTTTAATTATATTCAGCAATGATAGGACCACCTCTTTCTCAGGTCTCATGTTATCAGAGATCAATAATAAACTAAGTACAGGCAGGCCTAAATGATGATGTCATGACATGTCATTATTTATTTAGACTTAGATCTCTAGATCCAGATCTAGATCTAGATATATATTATAGATCTCTAGATATAGATTCTAGATCTAGATTCTAGATTTATTTTAGATCAAGATCTAGATCTATGTCAGGAAAAACAATAAGGAAAGTTTACAAAACGAAATGCTCCCTGCCTCATTCAACTTTCATCGAGTCTTCCGAGTAGACCTACAAAAACAAGAAACGAGAACGCACACAAAAATTATTTTTTTAAATTAAAATCATCGACATAAAAAGATTTGAAGTAGAAAATCTAGTTTACCCAACATCGAGGCTGAATACCAAGACCCTAGATCTAATACATGAATCATTATACGCATTTCATTGGATCTATTCTAAATAAAGTGATTATTTCATTACTTTATATCATAAATTCACTGAGTTCGAAGTCCAAATGTTGAAGTCTTCGTCTTAGTGTTGTTGAGATGGCAGAAGCCATTGTAATATTCAAGGGAGGTAACGCTAAAAATGAAAACAAGGCAAGAAAATAGAAAAAGTGGAACCTTTTACGGTGTCGAGGAAGGCATGAGCTCCCTAGGCTTTTTTTTGTTGTTGTTTTGTTTTGGTTTGGTTTGGTTTGTTTTTTTTGTAAGTGTTTTACGGCGCTTGCTACCGCGAAAGGTTTTCTGAGCTCGTTGGATACATTAAAAATTTTCATTTTGGTTGGCAGTACTTTTGAATTTTGCCTGGGTGGCGGCTGAAGCCTACTTTTATCGATTTTAGGACACTAAGGGATCTTTAAGGTGTGTAACTTGCACACTGGACCTCCGAGATTTTTCCGCCCTTATCCGAGAAGGCTAGGCCCAGGGGTTAGATCTTACCTACCCTAAGACCAACGGTGTGGCTGAAAGACAGTTGTAAAAAGGAGCCAAGGAGTAAGAGCAAAAAGGCTACAGGAAAGGAGGCGAAAGGAGAATATTTTAGAGAAAACTATTTTCATGCACTGTCAGGTTTCGAACCCGGAACACGTTGAATAAACTAGGCCTATGCAAAGAGCACACATGCACACACACACATACACACACACACACACACACACACACACACACACACACAAACACACACACACACACACACACACACACACACACACACACACACACACACACACACACACACACACACACACACACACACACACGAATACTACACACAAACGAATGATCTGCTTCGTAAGTTTGTTAATAATGGGACCACAATAATTATAATACATTGACGTCGTTCGGTATTTGTGGGACCGAGTGCATGGGGTATTGAAAACAAACCAAGTTTTACAGTGTTGGGGGGCCCCCCCCGGGGAAAATAGGGTTGCGGGAATCCCCGGGGGGGGAAAAAACAAATGTTTTCAAAAAAGTTTGCCGCCCCCCCCCCCCCCCCCCCCCCCCCACTAGAGCTGGGCAATGAGTCGCTTCAGCAAAATCCGGATTATATTTTAGTGCACCTCTTCGGCTAATAATATGATATGAACCGCTTCGGCAAATGGTTTAGAACAACTTTGACAAACGGGTTATTATTACTTCAACAAATGGGTGCACCCGCTTCGGCAAACGGGTCAGGAAAGAGAGTTTAGAGTCTGAATTCGGATAATGGTTCATTGAGAATTATCCGGTTATCCTTATGGATTATCCGGATTTTGCCCACCTCTACCCCCCACCCCCTCCTTTCCCAATACACGTACACGACTCAAATATTATCACTATTATGCTTGTTTGCAATTATATTTGTACCATAGATTGTTTGTACTGTACTGTTTTGTTGGGGTTTTTTTTGTGCATGTGTCTGACTCAAGGAGTTTAGAATTACTTTACATCTCCTTGGTCTGACTTAACACCGTAAGAATTTCGTGCGTTTTTCATGTGGGGATCGAGTCGTCCTTGATTTTAAATGCATTTTCAGAATAGTAAGAATTAATTTTGAATTTTTCCCGGGTGGCAGCCGAAGCCTATTCTTATCAATATTGGGACCACCAAGGGATCTTTAACGTGCCCAACTTGCGCACGGGACCTCCGAGATTTTTTTCGCCTTTACCCGAGAAGACTACGTGTTCGATCTTACCTACAAGATCAGGGGTGTACCTGAAAGACAGAAGTAAGAAGGAACCAAGGAGCTGAAACAGTCAGGAGCCCAGAAGGGGAGAGTGTGCTTGGGGAGCCGGGGACAGAAAGTGGAGACGAAAGCAGACGACGGAACATGATTCATTATCAATGCCTTTCACCCATGGCAGGGTATTGGCCACATACTTTATCTATATCCTGAGCCATCCTTCCAAGCTCGTTCCAAGTGCGCTTCGTCTCTCTCATGTCCCTTTCCACGCGATCTCCTCCTTGTTTCCCGTGGCCTGCCCCTGCCTCGTGCTCCTTACACTGCAGTGACGGTCTTGTGATGTTTCTCCCGGGCTTTCTGAAGGTGTGTCCCATCTATCTCCACTTTCTTAGTCCTATTTCTGCTTCTATATCTTTTTGTCCTGTCCTTTCCCACAGCTCTTCATTTCTTATTCTATCCTGCCATTTAATTCTTAGAATATTCCTCATACACCTGTGGATGAAAGTCTGGACTTTATTCAGTACTGTCTTTGTTACGGAACATGATTACAGAACAGGAAAGGTGAAAGTGAAGAAAGGACAATCTTTTTTCCGTCGCTGTCAGTTTTCGAACCGTGGACCTATTGAATAAGACGCGAACTCGTACCTCGCTAGACCACGAAAGGCCCCTTATCTGAGTCTGAGCCAGAACTTAGCTAGTCAGATACGAGCTAGCTACCGTTGCAGCATCACAAATTATGTCAACAGATGCTTAGTAGGCCTATAACTATGTGTTGACTGACCAACAGAGTCTTTTAAATGCTAACATCCTTTTTATAAATAATCTGCTGCTTTTTCGACCCTTATAAGCCTATCTATATCAGTGCATCAACGTTGTCTTGTTACTTAATTAGTGCATACATCATCAAGTACTATAGTAATCATAATCAGGGATGGGGAATCTGATCTGAATTAAAAACAGCAATAACAACAACAACAACAACAACAACAACAACAACAACAACAACAACAACAACAACAACAACAACAACGACAGCATCAACAAAAACAACAAATGTGAGGCGAGCTGACAAAATGAGTTACTTCTCGCAATCCACAAATGGAGATATTGGCCAAAAATCGACATTAGGGTCAAATTTGTGTATTTCTGTTGATGTCATATTCTTTAAGTATAACATGCCTTATATTATTTCATACAAGTATAAATTGTAAAAACTTCACCTATAAGCATGATGTAACGATTCCCAAAGGGATCGAATCCGAGAAGTAACTCATTTAGTCAGCACGCTTCACAAATAACAACAGACTTGCTTGGAACCGTCACCATCTACACACTTCGAGATGTGCTTCTTCAGGGGACGGAGCGCTTATATATGGGGATGCCCCGTGTGCAGTGATGTCGGTCCTTCACACAAGTAAACAAGTAAACAATAACAACAAAATTTCGATTTATAAATCTCTCCTCCTCCTCCTCCCCCCTCCTCCTCCTCCTCCTCCTTCTCCTCCTCCTCCTGTTTTCCTCTTACACCACATTCCATCCTCTTATCTCTTCTCTCTTCCTGTTTCCTTCTCCCTTCCTTTTCTCCTCCTCCTCCCCCCTCCTCCTCCTCCTCCACCTCTTTTTATCTCTCTCCCATCCTGTTTCTCCGTCTTCTACTGTCCCCTCTCTCCTCCTCCACACCCTTCTCCTATCTGTGAAAATCACTATCACTGTCGTTTTTCAATTCTCTTTCGCTCTACATTTGCTATCTCTTCCAACACACCAGTCTACTTATGGAAAGCAAGAGGAAATTGGATCTACGGCTCTGGGCAGCCTCCACATGATGGAAGGCTAAAACAAACCCATTTACAGGAGTTTCGTCCCAGCGCCTGTCTTTACCGTCCTCCTAAATTCAAGACAAAATTTCATTACACTCCTCGACATTTTCCCCCATTCCAGCCCCCAACCCCCTATCTCCAACCCCCATCCGCCTATCTTTCTGTTCCTTTCAATGTCTGCTGCAGTCTCTGTCTTTCTGTCTTTTATCCGTCTCTCTCTCTCTCTCTCTCTCTCTCTCTCTCTC